TCTCTTTTCCTTTTTATCTACTATTATGATTTCTGTCATTACAAGTCTTCTAAACTTTTTGTTTTTGTCTCTCCCATTAATTCCCTCTTCATTCTGTTTGTAGACTCAAAGTAAAATAAATAGCAGAATAAGAATCTGTGTCTTAGTTTAAAACCTGTATCCTCTTTCCTGCCAGTGAATCATAAGATCCAAGATTATTGAAGTTTATTTACCTTTAATTACCCAACTTTCTTTGTATCTTGGAAAGTGACTAACAGTATAAGAAACATTTTTCCCACCAAGGTTTCACTCATTTGACTGAAGACTTTAAAACTAAATATAACCTGAGAGATCAGTTCTTTGAAATTTGACATGGTTCACTGTAACATAGAGTGGTAACATGGCTTGAATTTCACTCCTTGTCCCTTTGCACTAGATGAGGCATTTAACAGTAGTGAAAGCAGTATAAGTACATGAAAAAATAATGCTTAATTTAATTATGTGTCCTCTCAAGAGTACTTTAGAATTGTCCTCATGTTTTTACTCAATGTGGGTATATAATAGAAAATTTTAGCTCAGTTCTTCACAGGGCAGGTACACCTTCTCCTCTGAACCATTTTACAAACAAGCTAAGAGTATACTACACATACAAAATATGCTTTAGTAGTAGCATAATGAATTTTTATAGTTGATTAATTTTGAGTGGTCATGTAATCCCTCAGATGTACATGTCTTTATACAATTGCTTCAACTTTTTTATTACACTATAAACTGGTATGACTTTCTTCAGGTAGGGGAGGAGAAATATAGCTTATTAAAATTTTATTCTGGATTTTATTTGGAATAGAAGATATCTGTGCTCTTACGCAGATTAAATGTTCTTTTTTTTTTTTTTTTTTGACAGGCAGAGTGGACAGTGAGAGAGAGAGAGAGACAGAGAGAAAGGTCTTCCTTTTGCCATTGGTTCACCCTCCAATGGCCGCTGCCGCCGGTGTGCTGCAGCTGGCGCACCGCGCTGATCCGATGGCAGGAGCCAGGAGCCAGGTGCTTTTCCTGGTCTCCCATGGGGTGCAGGGCCCAAGCACCTGGGCCATCCTCCACTGCACTCCCTGGCCACAGCAGAGAGCTGTCCTGGAAGAGGGGCAACCGGGACAGAATCCGGCACCCCGACTGGGACTAGAACCCGGTGTGCTGGCGCCGCTAGGCGGAGGATTAGCCTAGTGAGCCTCAGCGCCGGCCAGATTAAATGTTCTTGTATCAGTGTATGTGTTAGTGAACACTTTCAGTAAATTAAAAGGAGACATCTTAAAGCATTACTCAGTTTTCTCAATCTAAATTCATTCTCAAACGGGGAGTGATACTCATACACTGGGACTTAAATATGACTGAAATGTCTCGAGAGAAGAGTAACTCTTTAAGTAGTTTAAAACAGTGACCTATAATATTTGAAAGAATGGTTGGACAGGCCGACATTGTGGCATAGCAGGTTAAGCTGCTGCCTGGAACACCAGCATCCCTTATCAGAGCTCCAGTCCTGGCTCCTCTGCTTCTGATCCAGCTTCCTGATAATGCACCTGGGAAGGCAGTGAATGACAGCCCAAGTGCTTGGGCCTATGTCATCCAAGTGGGGAACCAGAATGGAGTTTCTGGCTCCTGGCTTCAGCCTGGTCCAGAGCTGTCTATTGTGGCCACTGGGGAGTAAACCAGTGAATGGAAGACTCCTCTCTCTCTCTCCCCCCACCCCTCGCCTCTTCCTCTATCTCTGTTTCTCTGCCTTTCAAATAAAAAATAAATATTAAAAAAGAGTGGCTTGGAAGACTTAAAGAAATTTCTTTCTCCCTATGTAGTCCACCATGAAATTCAGACTGGAAAATTTATAATTATTGAGAAAGTAGCTTTTATATTGAGTTGCTCATTAAAGACAAATACTAATGATTGTTTAAAAATTGAATATAATTTAACAGGTATAAAATCACTGTCAGGAATTGTCTTTTCTCTTGAAATGTTGAGGCAGTTAAAAGATTTTTTTCTAGACTGAGAAGAGCATGTGAACTCAGACTGTTGTGACATTCTCACCACTGATTTTTTTAAGTACTTGATATATACCAAAAATATTTTGTAAATTACAGTGCACAAATTGCTAATGCCATGGTCATTTTGCTTTGAAATACTTAATTTACTACTTTTAAAAAGGAATCTTCATGTATTTTATTATGTCTTCCAGCTGTAAGTTATGCCATAGCTTTGTAGTTCCACATAAGTCACTGTTTTGTAATAGGAAGTAGGTACATCAGCTGATGTTATTTTCAAATTATTTATTATAATTTTATTGGTTTTAAACCATTTTGTATTAAAAAATTTGAAAATTATCACACTAATGGGCAAATAGTCTTGAAAATAGGTTTATAGGTTAAATAACCCAAATGTTATGGGGAAACAAGGATATTAGAAATAGTAAGGATCCTACAAAATCCAAAGGAAATGATTATTATACTTTAAAATTATATGTTAATCAAATTTTGTAATATTATCTATTTCTTTACATTACAAGTTTAAATACTGGAAACCAAGTGAATTTCAATTAATGTTGCATTTTCTGGCAATTTATTTTTTTCTAAGCCATATTTTAATTGGAAAAGTATCCAGTAATAAAATTATTGATCTTTTGGTCCCTCTTGTTATCAAAGGTATAGAAAATGTTGTAATACTTAAAGAATTCTACTGAGTATATAAATAAGAAGAGTGTTAATTACCTCTTCAATAGAAAAGTTGGTGACATTTTCTTTTGGCCATTTTTTTAAAGATGAAGGCCTCTATATTTATTAAGTCGAATCCAAATAAGACCTTGTGATGGATTGGTTGGGAGATTGAAAAGTAATGAAACTGATAACGACATAGCCTGGCTAATAAATGATATTATCTTCCACATTATTTCTGCTGTGCCAGTCTATGGCACACTGCATCCTACAGAGTGCAGGAGGGTTATGACTTACAAGTTATGCAAAGATATGTGACTTCACAATGCCTGCAGAAGCAACTTGAAGAAATGTGGCCTGGATGCTACTAATTTGAATTTAGTATCAAGATGCTTACCCAAGCTCTCTTACTATGTCTTTGACTTCTAGGAAATTGACATCTCCTTATTATAATTTTGAGTCAACACAAAAAAATAGGTGTTATTAGACAAGTTAAAGAAATTGATTTTCATCATTGTGAAATCAGACTTCAAAAAAGCAATTCAGGCAAGAATGTTATCAAATATTTTCAGTTGTTTTGAAAATAACATCAACAAATGTCATTTTTAAGCACTGCTAAGTGGAATAAAAATTTGTTTTATGAGTAACAAAGGTAGTTTATAAACATGACATTGGACAATTACAGCAAAACTCAAGAATTTAAGAAGATATACTTAGGTAGGGGGAAAAAGTCAAAACATCAGCTATTAAAATTATTTTTATCCATTTGGGAATATGCAAACCATTCTCTAAATAAAATAGATAAATGCAAATTACCATAGTAGGGACTGGGGTTTCATGACTTCCGATGTATTGAGTTTTAATGAGGTACTTATACTGATCCAAGTTTATTTAGGTTTCACTTATATAATTTGATTAGAGATGAGGGATATAAAGAGTCATAAGAATCATGTTATTGAAATTGGAAAATAGTTGGTCCATGTAAGATAATTTAAGCAAAACAAAGTAAAAACACTTACCCTTTTTGCCACATGGTGTCGCTGTACACCGCCGGCTTTCTTTCCCTGCCCGCTCCTCCCAACTTCCCAGGAAGAGAGTGCACTGTCCTTAGAGAGGAAGAGGACCTGCCATTTTGGGCTATGCTACAGAGGCTCGAAAAGGTGAGCGAATAAATATATATAAATATACAAAATTGGGAATTAAGTTGTCCAAGGACAGAGCGTGATGCAGTAGAGAACTAGACTGGGGACGAGGTTGCGATGGTATATTACCACAGAGGAGGTCCTGGAGCCCGGCGCCTGCTGCTCTGGCTCCTGCTGCTCGCAGCCTGGCGGGCGGGCAGCGCCCAGCTGCGCTACTCGGTCCCCGAGGAGGCCCAGCACGGCACGTTCGTGGGCCGCCTGGCGCAGGACCTGGGGCTGCCGCTGGCCGAGCTGGTGCCGCGCCTGTTCCGGGTGGCGTCCAGGGCCGGCGGGGACCTGCTGGAGGTGAACGTGCAGAACGGCATCCTGTTCGTGAACGCGCGGATGGACCGCGAGGCGCTGTGCGGGCGGAGCGCGGAGTGCAGCGTGCACCTGGAGGTGGTGGTGGAGCGGCCGCTGCAGGTGTTCCACGTGGAGGTGGAGGTGAGGGACGTCAACGACAACCCGCCCGTGTTCTCCCGACAAGAACAAAGGCTGTTTATTTTAGAGTCAAGAATGCCAGATTCTCGGTTTCCACTGGAAGGCGCCTCTGATTTGGATGTTGGAGCAAATGCAGAATTGAGATACAAACTAAGTGCTAACGAATATTTTGACCTGGATGTTAAATCAAATGAAGAAGGAACGAACTTCTTAAAGCTAGTTTTGAAGAAACCCTTAGATAGAGAAGAAACCCAAGAACATCGTTTAGTGCTGATCGCGATTGACGGAGGAAGACCTGAACTAACAGGTACAGTTCAGTTATTGATCAATGTATTGGACGCGAACGATAATGCCCCAGAATTTGATAAATCCATTTATAACGTCAGATTGTTGGAAAATGCGCCAAATGGGACGTTAGTGATACAACTTAATGCCTCAGATGCAGATGAGGGCATTAATAAGGAAATAATGTATTTCTTTAGCAATCTTGTCCTTGATGATGTGAAATCTAAATTTATAATCAACTCTAGGACTGGTGAAATAAGAGTTAATGGGGAACTGGATTACGAAGATTGTAATTTATATGAAATTAACATTGATGCAGTGGATAGAAGTACATTCCCTCTGTCAGGACACTGCAAAGTAATAGTGAAACTGCTGGATGAGAATGATAACACTCCCCAACTGGACATAACCTCCCGCTTTCTGCCCGTCAAAGAGGATGCTCCCGTGGGCACGGTGATCGCCCTCATCACTGTCTCGGACCGCGACTCGGGCGCCAACGGGCAGGTGAGCTGCGCCCTGACGCCCGACGTGCCCTTCAGGCTGCTGTCGACCTTCAGGAACTACTACTCGCTGGTGCTGGACAGCGGGCTGGACCGCGAGCTTGTGTCGGGCTACAGCGTGGTGGTGACGGCGCGCGACGCGGGCTCGCCGGCGCTGCGGGCGTCGGCCAGCGTGTGGGTGGAGGTGGCGGACGTGAACGACAACGCGCCCGCGTTCGCGCAGGCCGAGTACACGGTGTTCGTGAGGGAGAACAACGCGCCGGGCTGCCACCTGGTGACGGTGTCGGCGCGCGACGCGGACGCGCGGGAGAACGCGCGCGTGTCGTACTCGCTGGTGGAGCGGCGCGTGGGCGAGCGCCTGCTGTCGAGCTACGTGTCGGTGCACGCGGAGAGCGGGCGCGTGCACGCGCTGCAGCCGCTGGACCGCGAGGAGCTGGAGCTGCTGCGCTTCGAGGTGAGCGCGCGCGACGCGGGCGTGCCGGCGCTGGGCAGCAACGTGACGCTGCAGGTGTTCGTGCTGGACGAGAACGACCACGCGCCGTGGGTGCTGCCGCGGGGCGCGGGCGGGCCGGCGAGCGAGGCGGTGCCGGTGTGGGTGTCGCGGTCGGCGGGCGCGGGCCACGTGGTGGCGAAGGTGCGCGCGGTGGACGCGGACGCCGGCTACAACGCGTGGCTGTCCTACGAGCTGCAGGCGGCGCCGAATGGGGCGGCGTCGGGCGGCGCGCGCCTGCCGTTCCGCGTGGGGCTGTACACGGGCGAGATCAGTACGACGCGCAGCCTGGACGAGGCGGACTTGGCGCGCCAGCGGCTGCTGGTGCTGGTGAAGGACCACGGCGAGCCCGCGCTGACGGCCACGGCCACGGTGCTGCTGTCGCTGGTGGACGGCGGGCAGGCGCCGGCGGCGGCGTCCTCGCGGGCGGCGGCGGCGGCGGGCGTGGCGGGCGTGGCGGCGGCGGCGGGCGGCGCGGCGGCGCTGCTGGACGTGAACGCGTCCCTGATCGTGGCCATCTGCGCCGTGAGCAGCCTGCTGGTGCTGACGCTGGTGGTGTGGACGGCGCTGCGGTGCTGGGCGCCGGCGGCGGAGGGCGCGTGCGGGCCGGGGCAGCCTGCGCTGGTGTGCGCGAGCGCGGTGGGGAGCTGGTCGTGCTCGCAGCGGAGGCGGCAGCGGGTGAGCGGCGGCGAGGGCGCGCCCAAGGCCGACCTCATGGCCTTCAGCCCCGGCCTTCCTCCGGGTCCCACCTCTACTGACACAGACAACGTGAGTGTTTAAAATCTTATTCACACCCATTATCTTTAAAAATAATTAAAATTATCGTATTTTCCATTTTTTAAAATTATGGATTAATGCATATTTGTAGCATCTTCCTGTAGCATCTCATCTTTTGTTAGTTCATTTCCTTAATATTAGGTAATATTTAATCTGTTGTTAATCTCTGCAATAATCGAGTTGCAGTAATCATCTTATTTATGGGAGTTTTTTTGATAGTGCTAACTGATTCACTTTCTGTGATTTAAAATTATTTATATTTTAATATAAACAATTGCTTTAATCTCCAGGAACTATGGTAGAACTATAACAATAGATTTATTTCAGAGAGTGTCAGAGATAGAGGGAGAGAGATTGAGTAGAGAGAGGGAGGGGGGAGAGAGAAGAGAGAGAGCGGGAGAGCGTGAGTGGGAGCACAGAGAGCGAGGGCGAGAGCAAGAGAGCGCGTGCGCGAGAGAGATGTTTTCCAGCTTTTCCTTCACTACCCAAATGTGCAGACCAACCATGGCTGGGCCAGGCTGAAGCCAGCACCTGGACCTCCATCTGAACCTCCCACCTGGATGACAGGAATTGAAGTGCTTGAGCCAAAGCTTGCTACTTCCCTGGCACATTAGCAGGGAGCTGAATAGAAAGTCGAGCAGGTGAACTGGCGTTCCTATATGGGATGCTGGCACCCCAAGGAACAGCTTTACTGCTTGGGAACAGCGCTGGACACAGTAGGACATATTTTGAAGTTACATATTCTCCAAGTTTCATTTTGTGACTACCTGGAAATGTTTTTATAGTGCCTGTCAATGTTACTTTTTGTTTTTTCCTGAAAGTTATTTTAACTTTCTATATTATACTGCTTTCATTTTTTATTTGTGTTTGTTTGGTAAATAATTACTTCCAACTTCATCTAAACAGTTGGCTTTACATACTCATAATGCATTTGCTATTTATAGCTTGAAATTTTAATGTCGATGCCTTCATGTTATCAGGTTTTGAGTAAGAAATGCAGCTACATGATTTAAATTTTTAATATTATAGAAAAGAACTGTTAAGATTTCTCTTCTGCCTCCATCACAAAGATATTTAGTATTCACTTTTAGTACTTCAAACAATTCTACTTCTTGGTGTCCTTCCAGAGGTGTTTTCTCTGTATGTAGATACACTTTCCTGACCTTTTAACGTATGATATTAGTATTGCTTTTAATTTTGCTTTTTTCCACTTAAAATATTTTGGTGATGACAGTTTCTCATTACTTAAGGAGAATTCTCACTATTTGATCTAGATGACAGTGTTCCATTGTTCTGATATATTATAGTTTATTTTCCCTTATGTTGACACGGACTTTTAGTGGAACAATTTTCCTCAATCTTGGATATTTTTCAATTTATAAATTATTTTATTGGTGAGAAGTAATTGTGAACTCACAATGAAAATCCTACTACTTTGATTAGTAAATAATACTATATATTGTTGCCTTTCATTTTCAGATTAATAAGAACATTAAAAATGTTAATGATACAAATTCTTCTTACACTTGTTCTTTATAAATAGACTTGTTTATCACACAGTTGTGCATTTGAATAGATGGTAGACAGTTGATTGTCTCCATGTCAAATACTGAGAACCAATTTTCTAGATTTTTGGGTAAAAAAATATGGATTTGGCCGGCGCCGCGGCTCAATAGGCTAACCCTCCACCTAGTGGCGCCGGCACACTGGGTTCTAGTCCCGGTCAGGGCGCCGGATTCTGTCCTGGTTGCCCCTCTTCCAGGCCAGCCCTCTGCTGTGGCCCGGGAGTGCAGTGGAGGATGGCCCAAGTGCTTGGGCCCTGTACCCCATGGAAGACCAGGAGAAGCACCTGGCTCCTGGCTTCGGATCAGCAGGGTGTGGAGGGTGAACCAATGGCAAAAAGGAAGACCTTTCTCTCTGTCTCTCTCTGTCACTGTCCACTCTGCCTGTCAAAAAAAAAATATGGATTTAACAATACCAAACATTACATACTTTGTATGACACAATACTTGTTCCTTACTTGTACTGCAGTATTATTTCTTATTCTCATAAGTACTTAAACATAGCCTTTTACTATACTACTTTTGATATTTATAATACCTCGAGTTACTTGGGAAGTCCTAGAAATTATGAGTTCTTGCCTCTGTCTACATCTGTATTAAGCAACTGCCAACTTTTAGAAAATCAATATATTTAGCTTTGAAATATAAACTCATAGGTTTACATTATTAGTATAATTGTCTTCTTCCCTGAGACAGGAGGTTGCTTATATAGAATTGATCTTTTTTTCTCCACATAATCTTTCCCCTTGACTAGAATGAACTATTTGAAAAAAAAATGGTGGGGAAATGCAATCCTTCTTAGGAGAGGGTCAACATTTTTCTTTCGTGTTAATTCATTTTTCATAAAGGATGTCAAAAACATTTTATATTTTTCTACTTGGAAGCAAGGAAAAAACTATTAAAGACGTTCCAATTGAAATTAGTACAAATTGTGGTGGAAAGACTGATATGGTACTTAATAATAAGACAATTTTAACAGAAATTAAGTGTAGATCAAAGTATATGGAAGACATCCACCACTATAGTAAACCTTCAAGAAAAAACTTCATATACTTTTTATGAGGGCTTATGTTATTGGAAGCAATGGAATGTCTTGTGTTGGAGTTGTTGTTGATTCACACCTGAATCCTTTGTTTGCCCCACTTCATTGCAATAGAAACTCAATGTAGAATCAAGTTAATTCTTTTAAAACAGAGCTTCCCAAGGAAGAACAGTGAATTACAGTTGTGGGCATTTAATGTACTTCAGAATTTTGGAGGAAGGTAGGAAGTGGATATGTGTCATTTGAAGTTCCATTGGAAACCCCAATTATATTCTTTCAAGGAAGAATGTAATCATCTCCAACTAATGACATTAAGAATGAATTAATGGTGTAGTTGATGTCTGGGATTAACTTTAGTATATAATAGTAGCATTTTTGTAGGTAAAGTTACAAGCTTTGAACAACTCTGTTTGAGCAATGGCTGTAGTGGGAAAAAGGAAAGCCAAGTGGTCAATATTGTCTTGAAAATAAGGTTCCTATGGGAAGATCATTGAAAATAACCCTGGAAAAGTTACCTTTTGATTGGATGATCAGTTACCTAATGGTGATTCTAATGCTTTGGACTTTTTTGGTTTACTGCAATTCAGTGAAAGCTTTACTCATAATGATAAACAGTAGCATGTGAACCAACATATTGGCTGTAGCCACACTTTGAATGAGACAGGTAAGGCAGAAGGAATAATAAAAATTAATATGGATGACCTGGAGGAAGTGTATGCTATTAAAACAAAATGTAAATTCCAGAGATTGGAACTGGAGGATTATTAGTGATTAGTTATGTTTAGATATTAAATAAAACTTTTCAAAGATTCAGGATGTGTGGATGACAGTGATAAGAAAAGGTGGGGGATGAAGATGTACATTTAGGAACCCCTGCAAAAAGATCTCAGTAGAAAGTTGGAAGTGGATGAGAACACTTAAAGGAAGTGGATATAGGATGAGATTGGAGTTGACAGAAACACATGCGACCATTTAGGAGCAGCAGACGGAGCAAGAGCAGCAAAGCACAGTGGGTGAGAATTCTGCTGAAATTTAACTGCAGTACACGGAAGCGAAACATCGGAAGTGGAAGGATGACACCAGCTGCATAGAAATTAAGAATAGTAAAGAATATGCACTGAAGCTTTCATCTATTATTACATAAAAGAACCTAAAGAGTTTATGAAAAAATGGACTTCAGGAATCTGTATTTTTTTAAAACGTAGACAATATTTGTTAATTTTAAGTTACATTTTCCCTAGAATAATATTTAAAAATCTCCTAGGAAGATGTATAAGTCGTTTCTTCTCAACTCCAAATGTGTAGGATAGTATACACTCCTCATTTCCAAGGCTACTGCAGATCACGTATAAAGTAACTGGTGGACAGCAATGATTACAACATCTGGAGGAAAGTTGTTTCCTTATGAATCAGTGGGTCTCTTTCTCTAAATTAAAAGAATTCAGATGGGATAAGCTGATTCTTCAAATAACAAACAACGTGGAGGATATACCGCACAAGAAAGGCAAGAAGATTTAAATTTTTTTAATGTAAAAAAATCACAGCACAGCAGTTTTGTGAATTCATTTCTTACCCTTTGGAGCCACATGGTGTCGCTGTCCACCACGAAGACGCTTGGAGCCACTCAGGAGCTGTTCCATTATTGCGTATTTCCTTGATTGCTGAAGGATGGCGGATGCAGAATTCATTAACTAGGATTCACTCAGCTTCTCATCGTCACTAGAAGACAGATCTTTCCAATGGAAAAACAAGAGGTATTTCACATGGTTTTTACATCTGAAGGGAAACTCGGAACGCGGCGCCTGCTGCCCTGGCTCCTGCTGCTCGCAGCCTGGCGGGCGGGCAGCGCCCAGCTGCGCTACTCGGTCCCCGAGGAGGCCCAGCACGGCACGTTCGTGGGCCGCCTGGCGCAGGACCTGGGGCTGCCGCTGGCCGAGCTGGTGCCGCGCCTGTTCCGGGTGGCGTCCAGGGCCGGCGGGGACCTGCTGGAGGTGAACGTGCAGAACGGCATCCTGTTCGTGAACGCGCGGATGGACCGCGAGGCGCTGTGCGGGCGGAGCGCGGAGTGCAGCGTGCACCTGGAGGTGGTGGTGGAGCGGCCGCTGCAGGTGTTCCACGTGGAGGTGGAGGTGAGGGACGTCAACGACAACCCGCCCGTGTTCCCGGTTCAGGAACAATGGCTGCAGATATATGAATCCCGGCTGCCAGATTCTCTGTTTCCACTAGAGGGCGCAGCAGACGCTGATGTTGGCTCCAATTCCATCTTAACGTATAAACTCAGTTCGAGCGAGTTCTTCGCGCTAGATGTGAAAACGAACAGTGATGATAACACACA